AAAGATTTTATTTATTTATTTGAGACAGAGAGAATGAGAGAGAGAGAGAGCACATGAGAGGGGGGAGGGTCAGAGGGAGAAGCAGGCTCCTCGCTGAGCAGGGAGCCCGATGCGGGACTCGATCCCGGGACTCCAGGACCATGACCTGAGCCGAAGGCAGTCGCTTAACCAACTGAGCCACCCAGGCGCCCATAACGATGATATTAATAATGATAATAATAGCTGGCAACATTTAGCGAGTGTTTGCAATGTGCTAAAATCACCGTGCTAAGCACAGGGCAGGAATCCATTTAATCCTCCAGCAAAGTATGGTGGATACTCTTAGCATTATCATGATCCCCCTTCTCGTGGATTAGGAAAATTGAGGAATGGACTTGGTTTCCTGCCCTCAAACTGCCCGTGCTGTGGTTGGGGAGACAGTCACAGAGTCTCAGTCCAGGGAAACGTGTGCTTTACTTGTGGCAGTCGAGGGCGCTGGTGGGAATTCCGAGAGTGGGAGTGACTGCTTCTGGCTGGGGAAGGCTGGGGGGCTTCCAAGAAGAGACGACCCCCTGAGATGGATCCTCTGCGGGGGGTGGTAGAGCTGGGCACATAGAGTTTCGTCATATTTCAGTTCTTGTCTCGCTGTCCTTTGTCCATATCCCTGTTTTGCTTTCTTTTTTCTTTCTCCCGGCCCCACTCCTGGACGAACCTAGCATGTTGCGTTCATGCCTCCTTGGGTACGTGTAAACACTTGCAAACCAGACAATCTGCTCTGTGTAACTATATCTTCTACATCGATACGAAAGATGCATTTTATCTTTTCAATTGTGCCGTAGGATCCAGTTCTGTCTCTTACTTTTTCCACTCACCGTTATGTTCTTAGCATCTTCCCCATTTCCATATGTAACTCTGATTTACTGCTTCTAGAACACCCGGGGGGATCCACTCCCTTTTACTTACTCAGTCCCCAAGTGACAGGGCCCGTGACCACCTCTAGGTTCTCAGTCCCACCCGCAAGGAAGCCTTGGGCAGCTTTGGGCACATCCTCGCATGTCACCTGTGTATGCCTTCCTGTGGGTACTCGGAAATTCAACCACTGGGTTATGGTATAATTGCATAGTTAATGTCACAAAGTTCCGTCTGATCATCTAGGGTGGATCTTGAGGCCCTCACAGCATTTCTCCAGGCGGACAAGGGTGGAGAAGGACAAGCCAGCTCAAAGAGCTGAGCAAAAACTCAGCGTGTTCAGGGGTCAGGAAATTACAGGAGAACCTCCGCAAGGAGTGGGACCGGTCGCAGAATAGCTGTGTAATAAATACCTGACTGGATTGGTTTCTTTTTCCATTTCTTTCCTAAAAAGGAAACTAGGATTGTTGTGGGTGGCAGTTTGGTAACATGTATTAAAATCTTAGCCGCTTTATCCTCTGACTCAGCAATATCTGTGCGTGTGCATGAGGAAGTAGGAAGAAGGGTGTTCGCTGGATTGTCATTTGTAAAAGTGAACAATGGAAAGCCACTGAAAGCCCTGAAAGCTGGGAACCACTGGAGGGCTCTGAGAAGAGAAGGGACATGAGCTGATTTGGGGAATAGCCTGAGGGAGGCAAGTTGCTGAAGCAGAGAGACCAGAGAGGAAGTGACTACAGTGGTCCAGGCAGGAGATGATAGTGCGTTGGTTAAACCAGAGTGATGGCAGCAAGGGGTCAGATTCTGGATACGTTTTGAAGGTCAAGTTGACAATATCTGCGGATGGACTGGATGAAGGGGGTAAGGAGAAAAGAGGAATCAAGGATGACGCCAAGTGTTTTGGTTCGAGTGTGATCTAGAACCACCTGCCACAAGATCACCTGGGAACTTGTAAAAATGCAGATCCCCAGGTCCCACCCAGGTCTACTCAGCTGGCGTCTCTGGGGTGGGGCCCGGGAACCTGCCATCTGAGTGAGCTGCCCAGGTAAAGACTGGGGACTGGTGACCCCGAGGTAACCGTGGTGGACCCCTCTGGGGGGTGTCTGCTCAGGAATAGAATGTCAGTGGATGAGAGGCTCCCCACTCCCAGCCATGATTCTTCATCTGCGACACGGGGCCATGGATGGAGCCCGCCTCACAGGGCTGGTGCGCAATCTGAATGAGCTCATGTGTATAAAATATTCAAACCGGGGCCAGCGCATACAAGCTCTCAATAAAGGGCAGCTATAATGAGCGCCCTCTTCCAAAGATGATACATACTTGGTAAAGGACCAAATTGATCATAAACAAGCCACGATTTCCTGCAGATCCTACCACACCTGGCCCCATGTCGGGGAACGCAGGGACAAGGTGCTAAATCAGATCCAGTCCTGGCCTTCCAGAGTTCCCAGTCTTGAGGGCAAG